TGTGAAATTAATTTTTTACAATGGAAGTCATACATTTTTATTGAGAATTGAAATAAGTATCTACTTAACATAAAAGTTACGTAACCTCAAAAATGTGAAACAATTAAATATGAAGCTTAAAGTAAATAATCTGCATTAAGCATATTTTTATGTCAGTTGTTGTTATTTTTTCTAATTATATTTATTAAAATTAATAGGAATCACAACAAAAACAATAACAAAAACAAAATAAAAAAGCGATTTTTAGTAAAATTGAGAAATTCGAAAATTGCAAAAACGAGTCTTTACATTTAAATTTATTAAAATAGTTAAAGTTATTGCATACAAATTATATTCTAGTATATATTCACACATACTTGAATAAAAAGCCAATTAGCATTAAATTTGGGGTTGAGTTTCATTGATGCGTTTTTAAGAAAACTAACTGATTTTTTACCTCATTCAAAGTGGCTATCAGATAGTGAAAGAATTTAAATTATATAAAGTAAATTAAATATGCAAACCAAAACAAAAACAAATAACTATGTTACACAAATTATAGAAGCAATTCGTATGCATAAACTTATCGAGTGTGTGGCGACAGAAGTTGACCGAAGTAGGTGCGTGATGGCGATTTTTTGGTGGTGTACTCACTTGTACATACATAACCGAAAACGAAACTAAAACAATAACAACAAAAACATAAGTTAATGAGCAAATATATAAATACTTGTGACACTTACACACATACACACATCAAACATACATGAATGCGAATGCAATAACCACGCATAAATAAGTATACACACACACATACAAACATTTATGGTATAACTAGCGAATACAAACAAATTAAAATAACAATAAAAGCAGAAATTAAATATTTATATTAAAACAAATAATAAATAACAAAAGAGAATACTCATGATCAGCAAGCCATTGCATATATATGTATATGTATGTAATAACAAGTTCTATAAGGAGTCATACAAAGAACAATATAAAACTGCAGAATTAAAAATTAAACACTAAATCTAACGGTACCCGGGGCGGTTTAAATTATGATACAAATAATATAGCAGCAAATTTTTCTGTAAACAATTTTTTAACAAATTCGGTGATCTACGATATTAATAAATACTATTATAAATATATAGAAACATAAATAAATAATATTTAAAGAAATATATATACATATATATATATATATATATATATATATATATTATTAATACAAAAAAATAAACAAAATAATGTTTTTTAAGCAGACAAATAAAAAGTAAATAAATAAATTATTAAATAAATACTTATACATATATTAATATATATATATATATACATAGTTAAGTAATAATAATTAACGTAACATTAAAATATGTAATAGACAAAGGAGAAAAAATTAAAAATTAAACAAAAACCAAAAAAAAAAAAAAAGCAAATGAATATAGAAATAACTCAACAGATAAAATGAACAAAACAACTTGAAAACCCAAAACATACATAAACAAATGAAAGAAAACAAACAACACACATACCCATACACAACACAGTTGAAAAGGAAATAAAAATATTGTTATGGCAAACAAGAAATAACGGTAACAGCAACAGTAACAGCAACCGGCGTAACAGACAGTACCGACTTGAAATTGATTATATAGAAGAATAACGAAATGATTATTTAACATGTTCATTATATATAAATGTCATTAAAATGTTCTTCAGAAACTGCCTACAAATAAAATATATTTAAAATGATATTTAAACTAAACTCTTTTCGTTCAAACATGCAAGGGTTAACTTCGACTGCTCCGAAACTATGATTCCCCTCAAAGGTGCATTTTTTATAGCATAAAATTGAATAAAAAGATGATTTTGATCGATCAGTTTGCATGGCATCTATATACTACCATATAGTGGTCCGATCGGAACAATTCGTTCGCAAATTGTAACGTTGCAGTTCCGCCGAATGATCAACTTTTTAAGGAGTGAGGACGTGTGTAAAATTCCAGGTCGATATCTCAAAAACTTAAATATTTACCCTGTACAGCGTAAAAAGTGGAACGTATCGAAATATAACGTGCGCGGCCATTGGCTAATACTGAAGCTGCAGGTATTAATCGAAACTTAAAACAGCTTTAGCGGCATAGGGTCACTATACCCAGTTCGACCTCATCTCTCGTCATTATCTAATGAGCAATTTGAGCGATTTGTACCTAATTTCTTTGAGATATTCTTATCGCGTCTTCTTCGCAGATCTTAAAAATGTATGCTATCGGACCACACAAGCACTAGATATGGGAGAGCATCCATATTTTTAACACCAGCAAAGTATTTGCCTTTCTCTTACAGTCCCCATACACCCAGTATAATTATATTCGTACCTCTGGTTGACTTTATGCCGAATATTTTTGGACACAATATGGTGTAAATAGGTGCAAACCTTCTCTTAGCATCTATATACGTCCCATGATTGATTTTATAAAGGACACAATATGGTGTAAATAGGTGCAAACCTTCTCTTAGCATCTATATACGTCCCATGATTGATTTTATAAAGTATACATGTACAGGTTAGTTGAAAAGTGAGTAGTGCTCACCAAGAAATAGAACACTAGCTCCAAATTTTTTTTCTTAAGTTGGTACGTCTAATGTGGAAACACATGCAAAGTTACAAGTTATTCTGCCAATTAATTCTTTGTTTACAAGTCATTTGAAGTCGACGTGTCAGAGTATTTTTTTTATATGGAAAAAATTCAATATCACGTAGTAATTAGATTCTTTGTTTTGAAAGGTTTAAAAGGTTTAAAAGGAAAGGAAGTTTATGAATAATTGTTAGAAGTGTATAAGGAGTCCATACTTTCAAAACGCTCCGTTGAATTTTGGGCTGGTGCATTTGAGCGTGGTCGTACTAGGCTTGAAGACGATCTACGCGAAGGACGACCAAAAACCGCAAGCACACCAGAAATCATTGAGCAAGTTCATAATATTGTTAGTGAAGATCCATGTTTGACTAAGCGTGAAATTGATAATGCTATAGGCATCTCAGACGAACAAGTACTTCATATTTTACATGGAAAATTACATATGAAAAAGCTGTTTGGAAAGTTAGTGCCGCACATTCAATCATCACGACTCAACAAAAACTGGATCGAAAACAAATTTCGCAAAGCAAGTGAAGTCGCAACGATCGGCAAAGAAGGTTATGGCATCAGTTTTTTGGGATGCAAATGGAATTTTGTTGATTAATTATCTGTTGAAAGGTAAAACAATCAACTCTGAACATTATTGCAGCCTTTGGGATCAGCTGAATGAAAAAATTCGTGAAGAAAGACCTGGTTTGCAGCTTAAGAAAATCATTTTTCATCAAGACAATGCACCTGCTCACAAATGTGTTTTTACAATGATAAATTCAACGAATTGCTTAAGCATCCACCGTATTCACCAGATTTGGCGGCTCCCAGTGACTACTACCTCTTCAGAAACCTGAAACGATTCCCTAGTGGAAAGCTTTTTTCTTCGAATGAAGAAGCTATTACAGCCGTAGCCGGGTATTATGCAAAGCTTCCGGAAAGTGATTATAGGGATGGCATAAAATTGTTGGAGGATCATTGAAATAGTGTATTGAAGTTAAGGGAGATTATATTGAATAAAAACTATATTTCGTTCCAAAAACAATATTTTTTTCATTTAGAGCACAGAAACTTTTCAACCAACCTGTATATTGGTTAGCGGGAGAGATATTTCAATAATAATGTTTGTGTAGCAACATTGGGTGATATCTGTTCATATCTTCCTCGAGCTATATTTGAAGAATATACCAACTTATGTTAATCTACTTGATCTTTATGTGAGTTTTTGATGTAGAGTATTAATGTACATATTGTACATAGGTGTGAGTGTACACGTGACCTATGGTATTAATTAATATGCCGTAACCGGTTCACAATTTATTCTAAAATCAATGTTTTATTCATTTCAAACATTTTTTATTTTTCAACTTTGCAGACACCTCGAGGTATTCGGCTACGTACGAACTTACCCTTTCCTCATTGAAGTTTTAAGCACGTATTTTTCCATAAAATTTTACCCAATTTTCTTCAGACTGTCATCTTTATATGCGGTATGAAGTAAACCGAAAGTTCGAAAATATTCCGGTAAAAAGTTTGCACCAGGCACTAGGGTGCCCATATTCTGTAACTGGGGCTTGAACAGTTATGGTACGATTTTGACAATTTTTAGACTTGAAATGGTGTACCGCAAAAGCACTATTTGTGCAAAGTCTTGCCCAAATATAATCTTTGATACTTGATTTGTATACTGGAAAAGGAAAGAATTATACTCATTGTGAGATGGGATTGTTAAAATAATTAACAATAGGTGTAGATACTTGTATAGTAACAGTACTATGTATTCTTTATCATCGCGTTAACCCAAACAACAAGAAAAAACTACTAGAAAATTGCGCATGGTCTTTCCACCTACATGCTTTCAAAAAAAGTAGGAAGACCACTAACCAGTTCCTGACAACCACGGCCGAATGTGGGAAAAAAGTGGTATCAAATTTGACAATACTGGACATATTCCTGGCATATTCGATAAATCAGGAAACAAGCGATGCAAACATTGTAAAAAATCGGATCGGATTTCTAAACAAAGTTTATTTTTATATTTATAATTACACGTACTTTTAATTTATATTTTGTAACAAGAAAGAAGAAAAAGTAAAACAACCCTTTTGTATAATATACAAAATCATATAAAATTTCGACTGTCTACAGACGGTTAAAATGTCTTTTACACCTACCGTACATAATCTAAGTAAAGAATATTGCTTAGAGTTGTCTAACACCCAACAATTAAAATTATGGTTAATTTTAAAACATTACTTAAGGAAAGCGGTTAGAGAGTTAACTGAATTAATATCTTAAATTACTTCCACATTAATAATACAATCTACTACATTTCAAATTATGAAGGTGCTGCCAACATTAATATATTTTTCGCGGCATCTGTTGAGCAGTGACCATATAATTTTTTCATAGGCGCTCAAAGTAAATGCAGCACTGGGCAAATGTCAGTATTTGACATTCTCGCAATCGGAAGATGTATATTTTCCACTTTTGTTCGCCACTTTTAGCGAATTTCTCGATTTATGTGTGTGTTAAGAGGAAAATCGAAACGAATTTAATGGCAGCTATAAAATCTTCGTAAAGTTAGCACAATAAAGTTATTTCAAACTTAGTAAGAAGTGATTTAAGGGTTCTGCAAAAGTGAAAATTTTTAATATTTTCTCTAACCTGAACCCAAAGCATCTAATTGGAGAATTTGTTAGATTTGCATTTTGTATTGAGCTTTGCTTAAGCCACAACTTGATACTTGACATAATTTTGCACAAGGAGGGATAGTAGCAATATTTGTTGAAGCGGTGGAGGAGCTGAAGCAGCACCAGCCGCGAAGGCAGGAACGACTTTCATATAAACGGCAGCGATCTAAGATTATGGATCACAAGAAATCTCCAGTAAGAAGACAGAAGCGACAATCCAAAGCGATCGAGGAGAATTTCTGGGACTGCAGCGTCTGTACATACAGGAATACAGCTGAGGCATTTAAATGTCGTATGTGCGACGTGCGGAAAGGTGAGTGACCCCTTTACGAGTACGGACAATCTTTATGTGTGTGTGCATCTCGAGGTAAATATGTATGTGTTCAATAAATACCATAAAAGTCATCGAATTTTCATCGAAACATGAATAATAATAATTATTTCCGCATTTTTGGTTAAAGTGTTGTTTATATTCACAAAAGTGTAAATATAAATGTGTGTAAATGGTTTTGTGTACCTGTTAAACTCAAGTCATCGCAGCGGTGCGATGTGCAGTATGTTTACAGAAGTAATGAGAAGCTGTGAAATGAGGCTGAGGCCAATCGCTTCGTTGCAATGTAGGCCGCACACAGCCAACTCAAATGAAACAGTGGCAGGCGGTGGCTAGAAATACAATTAGGCAGTCTTTTTTTATTTTTACGCTAGAAATGGGGTTATAGATGTATATATTCATATGTATATACAAAAAGCAACTAGGTCGTTTGGATTGTTTGACGCCGGGTGTTCGTTTTTTTTTTTTTTTGTGGATCAAATGAAAAAAATACAAGTAGAAATAATTTGAGTTGAGTGTGGCATATCTACAATAACTATCAAAATGCTGCATCACTACACCGAATTGCTTGTGCTCTTTGGCTTTGGTTTATTGTATCCATTTATTGTTTATTTTGGTTTCGCACAAGCTCAATGTTTTACTGTTTTTATCAATCAAATACTTTCCATACCTGAATATATTGATAACATTTTCATATATGTATGTATGTAGATACATGTAAACATATTTCATGGCCAGCAAATTAGCCTCATAATATCTGGCAAGCTGTTAAAGGCGCTGTACAAGAGGCAGAAGGTTTCGTGTTTTTATGCACAATTTAGCGCTGTAGAACGCGAAAGTGTGAAGCAACAAATTCGGCCAAAGATAAGCATGTAAAGGAATCCACTTAAAAACACTAATTTCCATAATCAACTGTCACGGCTTTCTCGAAGCAGCTGAGACCGCTGCTGACGGTTGTGGTTTTATCTACTTGTATATCGCTATTTGTTTGTTTATATTATTATAGTTATCGACATTAATTTTTTGATACACTTTTATAATCAAAATAAATTACAGCTGTAGTAATATAGAAGTTTTGTATTTGCATACATACATACATACATATATAAATGAACGTGAAGATAGACAATTTTTTGAAAATTATAAAACCGGAATAAGAAATAAGATCAGAATATATGTGTGTAATGAAATGAAAACTCTATTTCTCTGAAGGCTATATAAATATATGTTTTCTGAAGAACTACTTTTTCTATAGTTAACATACTTTGTTTCCCCCAAAAGAAGGTTTGGACCAAAAAATAACACATGTTCTCATATAATAAAACTAACTATTCTAATAAGATTTATGATTTCTCAGATTTCTGAAACCCTAGTAAAAAATTACTATTGCAGGAACTTCCACTCGTAAGCCACGACTAAACTCAGCACTCGTCGCTCAACAAGCTGCCACCTTACCCGGCGCATCAGGCACAATGCCAAACGGTACGAAATCGGCCTCAGGCTCACGGCACGGTGCTGGACATGATAAGAACAAGCATAAAAAGTACCCGGCCCGTTTGAAGAACGTAGATCGCTCGACGGCACAAACGCGCGAAGTCACTGTGAACTCGGTGACAGTGTTCATTACAGAATATAAACCCAAACCGGTGGGCAGCCGACGTGAGTCCAGTGAACAAAGCTTTAGCGAAAGCAATGATTCACGGAGTTAAATTTTGTACTCGAGCACACCGAAACGGCAAACAATTAAATTCAAATAGTAATGATAACATTTAATTCAATAAGTTTATGAGGATTGACACAGTAATTGTAACTAGGACAAACACGGTTTTAGCTAATCAAGGATATATACATAAATATTTGTAGGATAGTGTGAGGAGTTTTTTGTAAATGCGATTTGCTGAACGTTGCTGGGCACATTTAGCCACTATTGGCACGTGCCGGGAAGTCGGAGTATGACTCAGTTTATTGTAATATTTTGTACGCCAACAAATTTCGTTTGATTATTTGCTAGTGCAACATATAAAATAATTACTGTAGCACAGACTATGAGGGCCAACCTCTACGAAAACGCGCGTAAATCTGTGCAGGAACACTGCCTTCAGTTCTCAGACTAGAAGTTATAGCCAAGACATTTTTACACACTCAAATAGTAATGTCCTTAAATAAATAATGTTAAAAGGCAAACAAAATAAAAAGAAAAGAAAAAATAGCAATTAAGTACAGCGACCAATACATGAAGGCAAAAAATAATAATAAACAATTAGTTACACAACCACAAGAAGTTTGAACTACTCATCAACCTCCAATTAACTGCACTATTGCACTTATATAAAACAAATTTACTCGTTGTCTATATGTTTGCAGTTCCAAGTGTATTACAATGTATATGTTATTGGAAATAAGCCACTAAGCTTTGTTACTACTGTTTTTTGTTTATATTTTAACTGTATTATTGTAAAGTTAGAGGATAGTTTTTAAATAATCGAAATTCTATAAGAAAACAAAACGAATATTCCACAAGCGTATTTTAATTTGTTTAGTATTTAGTTCACAAACCTGTGAAAAATCAATGTAAATTGCATGCATAAGTAAATGGTCTAACAATTATGTAACACTAAGTCGTTACAACATAGCTAAACTAAACAGTTATCAGAGTACTTGTGCATATTTGTGCGACTATTGTAAATAATATAAGCATATACTGGATTTGTTTAATTTTATTGTAATAATTAAGTTGTAATTAATGTTGAAATTTTAAAATCATCGACTATGTGCAAAAGCTGAGAAACTTAACTATTTGTTAAACGGATACATTGTGTTTCTAATGCAACAAATAATTTCAATTATTTATATACATAATAACAAAAATTCCGTAAGATAATGATAAAAATATAGTCTAATTTTATTAAAATAAAATCTAAATAAGTTTACAACAAATTATCTGAAATAAAATAGTTGTCATTTGAAACGAAACATTTTTCGAAAATGAAAAAAAAAAGTGTTGGAAATATTGAAATTATACATATGTTATTCAAATTTAATTGTTCCAAAACGCTTTTCTCAACTGATTTCAGGCATATTTCAATTATATTAGGATGTATCGATAGCCCAAAAAGAACAATTTATCCAGTGTTGGAACTCATAATGTCAGAATCAGCCGTTTTTTTAAATTTTTTTTATTGTTTTCATGATTCAAAAATACATTTTCCAAAGATTTCAACCACTGAAATTTTTTTTAAATTGATAACTGAATGCGAATAGATTGTAACACAAAATCATCAAAATGTTAACATGAAATTCATGAGAAAAACGAAAATAAAGTTTTTTTTACATTATGGATTAGAATTTTCTTGTAAGAGGAAGCACACCTCGAAGTTACACAACCTGTAGATAATTGAATCATGGTTCATAATTATGTATTATTAAATTTTAATTGTTCAAAACCACTTTTCTTAACTTCCTTGAGTTTAAGTAATATAACTGTCTAAAATTTAAAAATACCTAAACACTACAATCAAAAAAATAAATTCGCTTACTAAGTTTCATATATTTCAACAGTTTGGAAATGACCAGCTGATTCCTTCTAACACGATTTCGGCGATTGCCATTTGCAGACATAAGTATATAAATATACCCATACATGCACGTGCGTTCATTTAGAAGCAATCGAACAAAGCGTAATTATCGAGCTAACTGAGAAATAGCGTAAATATTTTCGTTCACATAAAAAAGACTGATTATTCATACATATGTAATGCAGATGTGAATACTTAACTTTTCTGTTTAAGGCATTGTTATGTAACCTATGTATATGCGTCGAGCTTCTAGAGGATTATTATTTTTATTTCATAAAATTAAAAATTAAGTTTAAAATATTTTACAGTATGCGATTATATAAATTTTGTATTAAATCTTATTAGTATTATTATTTCGTCACAGTGATTGCAAAGCGAATACATGTTATATATACTAGTTTATTAATGCATACAACATATACATATAATTTGAAAAAATTGTAACTAATTTTTTTTTTTTTAATTTAAACAGTTATCCCTTTAAATAAGCGTTAAGTTATTAGTATTTAAGTTGACTATTTTCATTTGTAGCCGTAATTTGCTTAACAAGCATATGCTGTACGTGTAAGTGCATATATATGCGCGCATGCGTAAATAAATTCGTTTGTTTAGTTGAAAATTTTGTGTTGCCCAATAAATAAGACGTCAGCAGTCGCCCTTGTTGAGCTTAAAGTTACCCCAAGCGAAGCGTAATTTGTTTATAAAACCATTATGAATGTTTCTAAGTTGATATTAAACCCACACATACGTACTTACGTGTATGCTTCTTTCGTAGTAATCGTGTAATAGCTTTTTTTTTTACTTCTGAGAGACGTCGCTTAAGTTAACGCAGCTGTAAATTTGTTCAAGCAGCATTGCGCCACAACTTATTAGTGTTTGCAAGCATGAAGTGACCTTGGAAGAATTCTCCATTTGAAATTATAGTATAGCCTCGACAGTGTTTTTTTTACTTATAATCGGTTTTAAATAAAATCAAATTAAAGAAATTTGTTTCGAATTAAACAAACTATTCGACAGCAAAATACAAAAACAACAAAAAGCAAAGAAAACACACATACATAAACAACGAAGAACGCCGTTACTGATGGCCTAAAGAAATAGTGAATTTTTTTACAAGCACACAAATTTGTATTTGTAACAGTACATTTATATGTACATATGTATGTATATGCAAGTGGGTGCGCGCTATGGAATTTTGTATTGACATTTTTCTAATAGAAATTTTGCCTTTTCTAAAATAGCATTAAGTTTTGTAAACCAATAAAACAAGTATTTTATATCAAACCGATTTTGAAACCAATGCACAGAATGTGTGTAACAGCCAATAAGGTAATATATGTATGTATTGAAATCACAAAACATGCAATAGACAGCAAGCCTTCAAAGCAGTTATTCAAAAAAAGAAAAAAAAAAAACAAGGACGCTCATAGTGAGGAAATAATTATTTCTTTTTTTCAAAAAACAAAGGTACTATTTCACTCACAGCGCAAGAAGTAGTAAAAGCTTCTGGTACATAACGGAAAACTACAAAATTCGAAAATAATTGAAAATCTGTGTTTTTTTTTAGACAATTCCTGGCACCTACACACTTTTCTCCAATTAAATTTAGAATAACCAAAATGAATTTGCCAGCGTTTTACGCGAACACATTATATATATATGTATATATATATTCATTTATATACATATACATATGCGATTGTGTTTTACATAGCATTAAGGGTAAAAGTTAGTCATGCCATTATATAAAGATTTTTAATTCGACCAAAAAATTAATTCCAGCAGAAATTGTAAGAAAATGTGTTGGTATGATTTCGTATTTTTTTAAGACTTATTTCAACCACCATTACAATAACAATGTTTCTCGGCATATAAATATCTAAGTTCAAATAAGTAATTGTATGGGTTTCGTTGTTCGTTTGGACACGTTCTCTACAAAACTAAAATTACAAAGTTTAAAATATAAATTAGTGAATTTTGTTCCAAAATAAGATTAAGAGACAACTACTGTATCATATAAAATAAAATAAAAACAAAACAGTTATGCAAATTGTAATTATAATTTTAAATATATGGGTAATATTATTATAAATCAAACATAATTAAAAATTAATATTTATGCGTCTTATTTGCAAAAGATTTTGTGATACAAACGTTTAGTTAGTTTTGTAATTTAAAAGGACTCTTATTAAGTTAAATTAACACTCCGAAGTTTGTGGCCGACATACTTGCGCTGGATACTATAACAAAATTTTGCATTCCTTATAGCTACTGAAGTCACTATACTAGAATATGCAGATCACAACCTAGAGTTTACATTTCTGCGTGGCAATATTTCAAATATTTGACAGTATTGCTGAAATTTGTGCAAAATTCGTAAAATGAAAAATAAAAAACAATGACGTTCATTGAAATTTAAAGTCGTTATGATAAGTACAGCGTGGCTCACGAATTGTGCTACTAAAGGTAGGTAGGTAGGTAAAGTGGCTGTCTTTCGACTAACCTAGGCCTTTAAGAGGCCCATTGTGATACCATCGGGACTGTGGTCCCCTCACTCTATTGGCTCCTCTCTGAACCACCCCGTACTTCTGATGAACTTCATCAGTGAGACAAGTTTTATCTGTGCAACCTCCGAGACGTCGTCAAGAAACCCACGACGGATGGCTGCGATTCTTTTCCTATATAGTGCTGCGCAGTCGCATAGAAGATGTTTAATGGTCTCTCCTCTTCTACTTCCTGACAGCTTCTACAATAGTCGTTATACGGCGTAACAAGTCTACTTGCATGTCTGCCTATTAGACTGTGGCCTGTTAGTACTCCTACTAGAGTTCTTATATCATTCCGCTTGAATTTTAACAGTCGGCATGTGTGGCTCATATTCCATTCATGCCACGTTTGCCTGCTAGTTGAGCAAGTCAGGGACTGATTCCACTGACACTCGGCTATGTTAATGACATGTTTGTCGATTAAGTATCTACAAGTAGCCAGAGGCTTATATATGTCCTCCTTACCAGGAACTAGTTCTAGGGTGGTGTCTGTTCTGGTTAGTTCATCTGCAACACAGTTCCCGGGGATGTTACTGTGTCCTAGGACCCATTGAAGATTTACCGTGAAATAGGATGTCAGATCCGCTAGAAGATCATGGCATTCTTTCACTATCTTCGACGAAATCCTATGAGATATCAGAGATTTCAAAGCCGCCTGGCTGTGTGTATATATAAATATATTTCTTGTTGTGATCACACTCCTTGTCAGTACAAGAAGGCTTTCTTTAATTGCGGTGATATCCGCTTGGAAGACTCTGCAGTGATCTGGTAACCGGAAGGCGATTTCGGTATTTAGTTTAGCTGAGAAGACACCGCCGCCTACTCGGTTATCCAGCTTGGAACCATCCGTATAGAAGCTTATCCCTGCTTCCTTGTCTACTACGCCGGAATTAGATTCAGCACTGTAGAATTGCGATTGTGCTACTAAAACAAACCGTAATAATTTTTCTGTAATTAATGCATTGAATCTTTTTATTGCGTTGGAAATTTAATTTTATATAAGGACCGTAAATGAGCTCCATGCTAAGCCACGCATATGCAACACCTAATTAAAAAATTATTCATTGTGGCCTGAAGGGTTGAATTCGGGATTGCCTCAATTATCGATTTAATGGACTACCTCAATTCAGGCAGATTTCAGGGTTTTGTTTTGTACACCTCTTGCTTTTCAGATGAGTTTGGTGGCCAGGAGAAAGTAGAGTTTCTTGATATTAATTTGTTTCCAAATTTTCGTTGGAGCTTCGCCAGACCGTTTAGGCTATGTGTGCAGTTACTTCATCTTGCTGGAACCAAACGCTATTGAAAGGGATACATCTTCGGCGCAGTTCTGGCAAAAAAGCTCATTCAACATCTTTAAATAACGGTGACAATTGACAGTTACTGTTACACCGTTTTTAAAGAAGTATGGCCCGACAATACACCTTGATGAAACTGCTACCACACAGTGACTCGTTCTACGGTATGGTACGGAAACAGGTTTAAGTCATCATCAATTATCCGTTGTAATGACCGTCTCCTTACTCCAAGTTGCGCCGATAAGTTGCGAGTCGAAACTCTTGGATTTGCAACAGCCGCGATTGTTTCTTGAACGTACGGATCTCGATGATACGGTCTTCTTGCGGTACTTCCAGATTCGGCAAACATGTTTACAAACCTCATAATTGCCCATCTACTCGGGGAAGTGCCGCCAAAATCCCGTCTGAATTTAATTTGAATGGAAATGACAGACTGCAAAGCATGGTACCGCTGCACTATCCAAACTCTTTGTACGGTATCCCAAGCATTCATTTTTAAAAAATCTAAAGAATAGTCTAACAAAAAAAGTAAGTCGATTACTCACACAGAAAAAAAGTTATTACGGCTTGTTTTTGTAGCACGATTCTTGGGCAACCCTGTAGTAGATCAGCGTCGATAATTTTTGAAAGCAAAAAGTATATAGTGAGATAAAACTCGTAGAAAAAGTAAGATAAAATAACAATTTTTGTTAATGAAAAGAAAAATACTTTACTTCTGGTTTTACTGGGGTCGGGAAGAGGAAGGCGAGGAGGGTCTTTGAAAGCGTTAAAATTATTATAGTTTATATCGATTTCCGATAAAACTACGAGTCTTATAGAAAAACTTATGTACATATGTATGTATACGAAATATGAGTTTCATCCTACTATGTTTTTTTCACATTTAATAATTTTTAAAGTTTTCTATACAGACCTATAAAGTTGAATTAATTTGTACGTACGACGTGAAATTCTTAGATTATTGTGCGTTAAATACCTTCATCTAGCCACAATTATAAATATTAGTTCAATCATTTTAATATTCCAATAGACAATGTAAAATTTTAAAGTATAATTAAAAAAGTATGAAAGTAAATATTTATTATTTTAAAAATTCATAAAATATTTATGGAGCAACGGTTATTTGGCAGATCAATTTTGGTAAATTATTCTATACGAAATATTCCTTAATAATTATATAATGAAGTATACATAATTTATTTAAAGCTCCAAAACTAGCAAATTACTGTATGCCATAGGTCTGATTTTGACATTTCTGTACACTATAACAAGGAATGGTAGCAATACATAATGTAGATATTGCTATAAGGTTGCCTAGTGGCTACTATACTCTCGTTATTACCCATCCACAACAGCGATGGTAATTTGTTGCAAATAATTTCATTTATACCCCTATTACGGTTTTCAACTCCTCTCGAAAAAGTTGAAGTTGAAGCAATTCAACTTCACATCAACCCAACTCATTATTGGTATTACGATTTTCAACTATTTTTAGTCGAAGTTTCATTAGTGTTGTCAACCTAAAAAAATTAAGATTTGATTTGACAATATAATTTAGTTATTGTTTTAATTTATATTTACGATACTACGATGACAAAAATGTTGGGGCTAAAACTGATGTGCTGCGCATAAGAAAAAGCCTTCGTGATCACTCAAATCCATTCGAAATTCAGGCAAAAAACCTAGAGTAGTAGATTGTATAGACTTTTTATGTTTGAACCACTTCCAAGGTCCTTTAATTTTGTTTTAATAATTCCAAATTGTAGCTTACCTCGCCTAGTTTCGGGATTTTACTGCACGATCTAAACAAATTTTTCAACTTTCTATGTATTTGTACAAAATAACTGATTCCAATTGTTTGAAATTATACACAAAATAGTTCTTTTTACCCTTTTTCCATTTTCTATTAAGATTTTTCCTAAATAAATTCATTAATGTTTAACTTCAATTGCTTTTTAGCATTGATACTCCAATAAACTCCACAGACACTGTAATACCAAAAGAAGTTGAAGTTCGACAACAATTCAACCGAAATTTTTTTAACGGAACGGGTTGAGTTGAAAACTATAATATCGAATTTCACAACTTCAACCAAAATGCAGTTGGGTTGAAAACCTAAATAGGGATCTTCATCTCTTTTGTTTAAGAGGAGAAAATAGGCTATTTCAATGGCTGCGTTTTTTCTGCATTCAGTACACATCGAGTTTAAATTGAACACAACACCAGAAGTGCTTTATTTCACTACAGGCTTACATTTGAACTAGTTCAAAATTTTGAAAATGGACACCTCAAATTGAAATTAAATATCTCACAATCTGTTTCACAAATTTGATCTAAATTTGCTCCGTAAGTTTCTTATTATGTCCTTAAAAATATATGAAATTGCCTCTCAAATATCAACAAAGATTTTCCGCCTTCCAGCTGACTTTATGTATACTCGTCGTTACATGAATTATATCAATAACATTTTAACACGACACGACAAAAAATGGGCAAAATCAGTCTATTACCTTTTTGAACCTCCATATACTGAATATATTGGTTTCCCTTCCTCTGGTTGACTCTATGGTACATACTTGTATATCAGTACGTATAAAAGATATCTTATTAGAAAGTGTTGGCATTTATTTATATTAATATTCAGAAGAATATTTTATATATTAATATACCAACTGATTCATCTAGTTTCCTATATTCCTCTAAATATTAACATATATAGAAATTAAGGATCTGAATTAAATAACAGTATAAGCATATTTCACTTATTATCTAAGTAAATATATATAATATATGAGTAGAGTTATGCATATCGAAAAGTACACACTGATGTTTTTAACTCTATCAACCCCAAAGATGCTTTCCAGCATCTTCAGTTGCTTAACGGCAAGTGGCAACCTTTTTTATACCCTGAACAACACATGTTAAGTTTGCCACGATGCTTGTAACACCCAAAAGGAAACGTCTGAGACTCCATAAAGTATATATATATATATATATATATAAATGATCATCGTAACCAGCTGAGTCGATTTAGACATATCCGTCCGTCCAGCTGTATACATGCGAACTAGTCCCTCAGTTTTTGAGATATCGATGAGAAATTTTGCACCCGTCCTTTTTTCACAAATAAGCTACACATTTTTCGGGACGGTCAATATCGGACCACTATAGCATATAGCTGCCACACAAACTGAATGATCGCAAAGTGCTTGCATGGAAAGTTTTTTCATATGACGAGATATCTTCACGAAATTAGTCATGGGTTATTGCGGTGCAATCTCCAAAGAAATTGTTCAGATCGGATCATTATAGCATATAGCTGCCATATAACAAAAACATAAATATGTGGACCCCAGAGTGTAAGGCTAAATTTTTACCGAAAATGTCGGCCAATCTGTGAAATATATTATTGAAACTCGGAAAGAATATTTTTCTGATAATAGTATGCCTGTCTGTCCAAATTGGGTAGAATCGGGTCAATACTTCCCTCATATACCTTATATACAGATTTTCGAATTTCCAGTTGACTTTATGCCGCATATAATGATCAATATGCGAGTTATTTTATTGAAATTCAGAGAGAATCTCTTTCCAATAACATTGTATCTTTTTGCCTAAAATAAATAAAATCAGGTAAAAAATTGCTCTAGCCCATATAAGTAATACAAGTATATGATGAAATTCAGAAAGCATTTTTTGACAAAAATTGATAAAATCGGGTCAATACTCTTCCAAGCATGAATACCGTATACCTAATATACGCATTTTGAAAACACATACATAACTCCGGTTTAATGCTGAAAATCTGTTAAATCGGTCAACAAATTACCCCAGCTAGTTTTGCCAATAACTAAAATGTTCGGTTACACCCGAATTTAGAGCTACGTTACCTGTTATATATAAATAATTTTACTTGAGATTTCCCAAATAATATTTTTTATACCAGCATCTTGGGCTTACCAAAAGCACCAATATCTATTTATTTTAAAATATCAAAATTCTCCAAGTCTCACTTTAGTATAATAGTTTCATATATGTATGTACATAGTATCCCCTGCCACTGCGTATACGCAACCTTTAACTTGTAGATTCTGACAAGCCGTCAACCTCGGAGCATTCATTAGCAATAACTTTGTATTATAAACCAATAACATTATGCATGATTTCACCTAATACTTGCTAAAAGTTACTCGCTCACTACACACACACACACATAGATGAATGCACACACACATACAAGTGTAATTGGTATTCAGCTTAAGTAATTGATGAGGCTACCAATATCTGTGAACATTTATCAAAATTTAAAGCTTCAGAATTGTGGAGGAGGAAGCTTTTACATCTACAGAAGTAAGCAACCCTTTCATGGTGAGCACACGTGCACATACACATACATATAAGCTCCAACATAACTACTCTTTCATTTGCGATTTTCATTACTTTCTGAAAGCAACGATATGATCTATTTCAGCTATTAAATTTAACTTAAAGTCAACGAAATACAAGCATTTAGTCTTCAACACGCTCATCCGCTCAGCGTAAATTTAAAGTTTAAGGGTGGTGGGCAAAGATTAAAGCAACCAGCCAGCAAAGCCAAAGTAGCAGCATTGGGCAAGCGCGGCAGCAGAGGCGCACAAAGCAACATTTGTTGACGTTCTGCAAAGCCATGAACATATATATGTATGTGTGTGCTTATATATTGCCTAATGCATGTGGATGTATGAGTGTGGGCGCGTGTGGAGTTTTTTGTTGTCACTGCTGTGCGCTTTGTCTGCCTTTCTTTATGGCACTCTGCGCCCGGTCTTCAGTATTCTTACCACTGATGTGGCGTCGGTTGGTTCGCTTTGCCTGTGCGCAGATAAATTACAAATTGTTTCGTTAGTTCGCCGTTCGTTTCAGTTTGCAGCAACTTTCAATTTTCAGTTGAGTCTCATTTTCTTTGCGCCTTTGGAGCTGGTACCGTTGTTTTGCCAATGCTTTTGGTGCAACAGAAAATGGTCGTTGGAGTGACGATATTCTCCCTGCTTCCGTAAAGAGCAAATAGTTTGCTAATAAGAAGCGCCAGAAACGCTGTGGCCGAATGTATTGCTGTCCTGTTGCACGAGCTCGTCATTCTTGCCACTTACACACTGACGCAGTTTCATATGTGCGTGTGTCTGTGTGATGTGTGTGAGAGATATTTTCCAGCAAAATGTATGTGTATGTATGTGTGCCGCCTTTCCCAACAATCAGACAAGTCCTGTCGCGCTGGTTCTCCTTCATCCTTCACAAACTTACACGCTTATGAGTGTATCCTTATGTGTATGTAAGCCGTCGTTAGCTCTACTCTAAGCTTTGCTGCCAATTCAT